ACAATTAAGTGTATTGTTATGATAAAGTGTAATGGGGTTATCAAATGTGGGCTAAATTACTAAGTTCAGATGAGTGTGTTCCTCTTACAGTTAATTTTTAGTCTGTGCTTTCGTTTTGACGTATTTTCATTTTTAATTTAGTGAATTTAACTTTAATGCTTTAAAGGGGTTATATAATGCCATTTTCATACAATATATTCGATTCTTTAGGGTCTTAATGAAAGTTTGTAATATACTTTAATAAAAAATTCTCATTAGTATTTAAGAAAACGCTCATTTTACCTGGTCAAAAACAGCTCTGTTTTCAGCATGCCTTTAAATGATAATGAGCTTCGCTCAGTCTGCCCATCTGTTCTGCGGGTGTCTTGACAACGCATGTCTCGCCTTGACAACAGTTGAGGGTATATTTTGGAGAGAGAATGGCAGCGGGAGTCTCTAAGGACACATCTGTGCAACCGTATCAATTTGAACCAGAGTCAGATCCGAAACAAGATGACAGCCGCAAAGTAGTTTGACAATTAAGGTTCGAACAGGACGTTTCTGAATGGTTGGTTAATATAAGATCACTTTGTATATACAGGCAGGGTAGAGTAACTTGGTGAGATGTACGAACGATATATGTTTACAGATGTACACGTACTCAGTTTGTAATGACAATAACCATAATGCATAAGCGTGCAAGCGATTTGCAAAAATTAATGTTAATATAAAGGTAAATAAAACTTTACACTCACTTCTTCTGGAGGTGCATCAGGGACATGAATAGGTACCGATTCTTTTTTCAGCAGTTTAGAAAGCAGTCAGATAAGAAAAGATTTGCGAATCGCGCACACATGAAAGCATTGACGTTGCTCACAGGAAATATTCCCTTCGAAAACAAAACTCGTCTTCAGCGGTTCGAATTTAGGAACATCAAAATGACTGCTGCGTTCGTGTACACCCAAGAACAGAACACCACAATCGCTTAGACGCCATTCTGCTCCAGCGTATCAACAATGGCGGACTATTGAAGAAGGCTCGCTCAGGGCGAGGATGTGTTAAAACGCTGCTGTCAATCAACAATCGTGGGAGGTACGTCCGACCATGTGACGTCACACGGTCAAACGGCTCGATTTGAGGCAGGGAAAAACATATAAGGAGATTAAAACAAAAACACTGGGTAGATTTGTATAATTTTATGATGGTTGTGTACAGGCACTGCCAACACACATTTCATTACAATCAACTTGAAAAAGTGCATGTACCATTACTCCCTTTAATAAGCATAATGTTTTTGTTCCCTATCAAGGGAACTCAAACTGCGTCAAATGACACTTTGGGGGAATGCCCAAAGTGTCATTTGACGCAGTTCTTGTTCCCTTCTCAGGGAACAAGGGTTACAGTCGTAACCCGAGGACGTTCCCTTCTCAGGGAACAAGGGTTACAGTCGTAACCCGAGGACGTTTTCATAACCTTCAATATGAACATTGTTTGTAGGACAACATTAGGCAGGATATGAAAGAACCTTTTTTTAAATAAACACAGATTTGTTTTTAATAGAAAATACAGAGATTATAGCGTATATCGCCATTTAGAAAAAAAAAAGAGATATTTTTTGGGGGGCCATATTGCCCAGCCATATTCTCTTCAAATATGGTTGCTGTCCACTTTCTCCAAAACTGTAAACTAGGCCCAGACCGCAAACAAAACTAACTTTGAATCTTCCAATAATAAACGGTGACAAAAAGAAAAAACAAAGCATGAGAAAAAAATGGTAAAACCCATAGACTGTCTCGTATAACACTGAAATTCCAACATAACTCACAGCGGGCACATCATCTCACGGGCTGAGACGGCTGCCGGGAGTGGGGGCGGATGCGGGCGGAGGTAAGGCTGCCCAGCCGGGTGATGGAGTGCAGTGTCACCTCCGGCCCAGGCAATTTATGGCGGAGCGCTGCTGACGAGCTCCCAGCAGTAAAGAGCGCACAGGGGCGTATTTCACAGCGAGCTGAGCTTTATGAAGAACACTTCGACGCCCCGGCAAGCCGCCGCTCGTGACGGATGGAGAAAGACGCATGACAAGCTTCATCATTGTTTGTAAATCTTAACTTGTTCCCGCTCACTAACCCCAGAGGCAATTTTCCAAAGACAGCTGTGGGGGCCGCTCGGAAAGGACAGCGTCGCACTCCTGAAGGTTATTTGGCCTCATATTTGGCCAACTGATTACCCCAGCGCTAGGGAAAATAAATACATGCCGCACAAGCACTGGAGCCACAGAAACAGTACAAAGGAGACTCAAGGCGCCCCCAGGCACCTTTGTATCTAACGGTAAAGCTACTTTGAAAATAATTTAAGGCCATGTTGCAGGTTAACCACCACTGTCGATGAAAGGGTACATAAATCACTCAAGATATGTCTACCATTTTTAAAATGTCTAAAAAATGACAATTTTTTTTTTTTGGTTTTTGTATAAACTTTTTTTCCCGCAATTCGGTGATGACATCACGTTGGGGAGAAGTGGAGGAAAGGTAGCCTCAGCGGAGTATTAGAAGTATGGCGACTGACTGGGTTGAGTAAGAGGTGGCAAGAGCCAACATGTATGATGGCCCGCAGCCATATAATTTCGAACCTGCCAGATGTGAGAGGGCAAATGAGGAATTGCCAAGAACTGATGGCCGTCAAAGACAATTAAATGCATGGTACAAGGAGAATGAGTGGAGAGTTGGTGCAGTGTCCTGGTGAGTTGTTATCACTTAGCAAAGCAGCAATAAGCAGTGCACAATAACGACACTTTTATTTATTTTAATTTTTTTACTGTCATTGAATAGCACAGAGTGAAAAATCAATGTTTGCTTTATATCTAGTGGCTCTGGCAGTGATCATGTCGTTAGTTCAGATAAGTACCGGTAACCTTTGTTATAGTGTCGTAGTACTGGTAAACTTTGTCAATGTCATCTAGAAATAGCAGGCATCATGCTAGCTATATAGGCTTTTCTAAGCGTTTATCTCTTCCTCTGGTGAAAATGTTGTTGCAAACGTAGCCGCCGCATCCGTGTGTCTGTCGCTGTGTTTGGCAGGTGCTTGTGTGGGCAGTGCCGTCCCATGGAAACTGCGTTGGAAAGCTTGTGCTGTAGAGAAGTGAGTGCGTTTGGGTCGCTAGTCGAGGAGCTCACCCCGTGACCAGATGTGAAGTGCCTCACCATTGTCAATCTACCTACTATATATTTCTATCTACTGTCTCTAGCTGTAACTATCTATGCAAACGTTATGCTATCTGGCTGTATGCCTATCTCTCTCTATACTACTCTATCTATCTATCTGTCTATCTATACATCTAGTTTATCTATATCTATGTATTTATCTATCGGAAGATAATATCTCTATCTGAATACTCTCGTCTATACTCGTCTCAATGTGTAAATTCTCTTGCCTGTGGGGGACAGGAGAATGATTGCAAACCGCTGTAAGATAGTACCTACTTTTTTCGTATTATATTTTGTTTTGTGATACCCAACGACATAAAAATGGATAACTATTTACGTTTATTACCAACAAGCAAAGTGCACAAATTCGTAGAAAAATTAACCCTGCAACACGGCCTTTCAACTTGAATGCTTTTCATTTAGAGTTGCCTCTTTTTTTAATCTCTCTTGACATTACAAGTAGTAATCCCAAAAAAATCCTCTATAGTTACCAGAAAACAAAAATGCTGGGAACAGCTAATCAGGTCAGAAGTTGTGATTGTGAATATGACACAATAAAACACAATGAGATGTTTAGTGATCTGAATGAAGAGGGAGTGCAGACCCCATCAAACTCAGGCCACAGTAGCCCGGATGGTCACTCATGTCCTCTACTGTAGTTTCTTCCCTGACCATAACCAAAGGGTTCGAACAGGTTGAGTCTTGAACAAAATATTTTGTTGTAACTGTAGTAGTTCATTAGCCTAGTTTCACTCACACACACACACAGACAAAATGTCATCTATGCTGACTAAAGTTCATTACGGCAGAGGTTTTCAAACTTTAAATGCCAAAGACCCCCAAATACAAATGATGATCCCCTTCTGAGAGACCCACTTGAAGAAAAAAAGACAGCTAGCAATATATTTGCATGTACAGTATAGTCATTACTGCGTGAGAATAATAAATGTGTTATGAAGACACGTTGCTCACAATTAATTAATTAGCTTTTATGTTTTTATTATACTGAAACAAATTAATAATGAGATAACTTGCAGTTATTACATTCTGTTGATCGCCCTCACACTTTTAAAAACATTTAATTAATATAAAAAAACCCTGCATTAGGGAATCATATAAATAGTAGTTAAGGAAAACATGCAGAATAGATCACAAGTAAGGCTGTTTTGGAGAATGGACCACCCAACTCGGAGTGTTTTGTGTTGTAATGGAACCCCTGCAGTGATAGTGGGGGTGACAGACACCCTCATGTTGAAACCACTGGAAATCAGCATGTAAAAATCATTAACAGCCAGAGCAGGTGGCAAGCTTGGAGGTATACGGGAATAGTGGATCAAGGAAACGCCATAATTATACTAACGCTGACGGTGAGAGCTAAACTGTCCTTCAACACTCTAAATTAGTGGAGAATGGTGCACAGTAAGCCAAACGTTGTTTCTAAAAAATAAATAAATAATTGGAGACAGTTCAGTTGAGTGTAAAAGGAAGAGGAAATTTTTATATAAAATACAATTTATGATTTCTGTGTTCTAAGACTGAAGCGCTTAGCACATGGTCCTTGTCTCTTTAAATCTGAAGTCACCAGAACAAATGATGCTCATAAAAGTTTTACCTTTGAATTTATTTATTTTTACTCAGAGTATGAACCTCCCTCAGATGTACTTGCTCACACTGTTGATAATCTCTGGATAAAAGTTTATGGCCCTAAGAAGCTTGTGTGTGTGTGTGTGTGTGTGTGTGTGTGTGTGTGTGTGTGTGTGTGTGTGTGTGTGTGTGTGTGTGTGTGTGTGTGTGTGTGTGTGTGTGTGTGTGACTGACCTGCTGCTTTGGGCTCAGGGCAGGTGTTGGGTGCGACACATGCAGCCGTGTCAATCCCCTGACTCAGGTAAGATGAATAGTAGGAGTGTGTGCGGTACTGTGGGGGCACATTATGGCTGGACAGGCGGCCATTTCCATTGGGCATCTGTTGCAAAGGGATTTGATTTTGGGGCAGGTGGAAAATAAAGAAGAAGAGTTAAGTCAGCACATAAAGAGTCAGATGGTATGGATAGTCAAGAATAAAAATATACGAGATCAATGTTTAAAAGTTGCAGAATTCATGAATTCATATCGAGTAAAAATGTCCAGAGTTTATAACTGTTATCAACGTAAATATGATCGTGATCTGGATATGATACTGTTTATCGCAAAGCCCTAAAATTAATCATAATAATTGTTTCTTTAGTAGCAAATCAGTATATTAGAATGATTTCTGAAGGATCATGAGATACTGAAGACTAGGGTTGGGAATCGGATACTAGATATACTTGATATCTATATATATATATATATATATATATAAACTTTGTCTTAAAAAAAATAGTCTCATTGATTTTACTGTGTGCCAGTTTTAATGTGGTTTTAAACCCTTCATGCACAAGACAACGAGAAAGAGAACACAGTTTGGTCCTGAATTGAATACCGAATTGAGTTCTCTTTCAAGTCTTCTTGCACATGAACGGGCAAATACACATCAAATTATGTAAAAATATCCTTGTAAACACAGTGAATTAAGTGAACATGAACAGTTGAGAAAGAAAGCGCATTTGTAACAGCATACTGGATCCATGCATTCTGTATTTAGCCTGTTCAACATGTCTGTTGATCCTTTTAATCAAAGGAAAAAAAAAAATGAATCACTAATCTTAACTGAATAACTTTTGCAACTTTAAAAAGGAGTAATCTACAGTATATTTTACTTGTAAAATCACACAGCATAGTTTTCTCTTTATGCTTGCTTATTTGTTCTTTTTGTTATTACTCAATTGTCTTTAATAATGTTTGAAATTATATTAGTCTAGTTGTTAATTAGGCTGCTAATTATTTGTTCATGGTATTCAGCTACAACAGAATGTTTTGCAAAAAGGCAGAATAAATATGTTTGACTTTTTTTTACCCGATAAGAATCGATAAGAATCTGAATCACTAAATTTCAAATGATATGATGTGTATCATTTGTGTACCAGAGTAATGGCTGCTGAAAATTCAGCTTTGCCATCACAGGAATAAGGCATTTTTTTCAAATATATTAAAATAGTGTACTAATTATTTGTAATAATATTTCACAATATTACTGTATTTTTTACAGTATTTCTGAATAAATATATGCAACCTTGGTGAGCATAAGAGAGCACTGACCCCAAACTTTTGAACAGTTGTGGTATTTGCATGTTGGCCCAGTTAATGTGCATGCACACTGTAAAGCAAATAGACTAGGCATAGCCTTGACTAATAAGGCTACAAGCTTTCTTAATTTAAAGGCTGGTCCTTTATTGCTGACTCCATATTGGGCGTTGTAATTTCTCACATTCTTTTATACATGCATTGTCCATCTGTATCTGTTTTAACAACAATATAGATGAAATGATATAGAAACCAGGTACAGTATATGGTACACCAACAGTGATGGTCCAAAACCGGGTCTTGAGTTCTACTGCACACTGCATGTCATTAATCTCAGAGCAATGAAAACGCTTAATAAAACTGTCTGTACACTCTGTGCATGTGACAATATGAACCTCTAGGAGAAAAATATGGCAAGTATAAGTTATGGTTGACCTTCTGCCTAGATTGCTTTATTTCTCCCTCTCTCTTTTTTTCAAAATAAACTGCAACAAACAAGTTTTCTTCCATATTTTGAGAACTTTAAAATAAGCGGTCTACTTGGCAGCACAGAGGCTTTAGGGTGTTTTCAATTCTACTTTTATGGAATTTGATTTCTGTCAGCTAGTAATATGTCACCATTTACTGTTCACCCCATCACCTCTTGACAGGTTTATAAACTGTTATTTAAACAATGTCAGCCTCTTATATTGCCTATGACAAATATAATACAAATTGAACTGTATTTTTTTTAAGAGTACCCCACCAATACATACATGAAATAAAACAAGGTGGAAAAAGCATGTGCCACAACAAGCAAGAGACAAACACTGTGTTTGTGCCAAAATATTTGCAATGCTACTCAGCTATTTCCTTGCAGCTTTTCTATGCCACTCTTAACCCACCATAACACTTACATCCAAATAAGTGCAAGTGGAGTAAAATCCATGCATCATTCAACGTCCTTCCCTGTGATTGTGATCTCTATCTCAGGTATGAACATATCTAGACAAAAAATCTGGTAACATTGCATAGTGCCTGCTTATGACAGCTTCAGCAGTTTGAAAGTGCATTGTGATTCCCAATTCATGTAATACAAGAAGTGCTCACAGAAATGATGAACAGGCCTGCTAGCGTTGTCCGATTCAGAGCAGCATCATCAATGATGGCTGGCTGGAGTCCTTTACCTCCCTGAGTGAGCTCTTATCTGGCACCATCAGCTGTCTGGATCCTCTACGCAACCCTCATATTTTCATTCTCCACCTGCAGTGCAGCGGAGCCCCACTCACTGGAGGTGGGAGAGGGCGGGAGATGGACACACTAAGATAAAAGTCAGATGAGGCGGAATAGCTCCTCACCCATATAACTTCCTTATCAAATTGACCCTAATAAAGAGAAGAAACTATGATGGAAGGTTTCATGGTAAGTTATGATTTTTGTAAATGTAAAAGAGAATACAAGAACGTCCAAACAACTGTGAAGTTTCAGAATTACAAAACACGATCTCACACTTCGGTTTCATACTTTGATTTTCCACAATATTTTTCAAGTTAAAAAACTCATTCCAATTGACATGACAACCTAAACTAACCTTCATGTCTAAAGGTCTAATAATCTGATATTTTTTTTATCAGATTTAATAATCACATTATTTTTATCAGATTAACCTTGACAAACACTCTCATGAGTCTACAGGAGTCCTATCTGTGCTTTCATGTTTTATAGTTTTCTTCCCTCAAAATTGTTTGTATTACATTGACATTGATTTGACAGACCAATGTTGTTGAAATCTATATTTTTAAACTGATTCTTTATTTAATTTTTTTATGAAATATTAAAATATTACACCAAACTATTTGCTAAAAACAAGTCACTTAAACTACTCTCTTCTTTTGTACTCTCTGGACAGTGACAGTAATTTAGAAATGGAAAACATTCAGATATTAGGGGAAAAAAAGCAGTGTTCAAGACAATATCTGTATGAACTACAGTAGTTTCCAAAAGAGATGTGTAATAAGTTATTAGCCAGGCTGTCAATAAATAATTTTGTCAGATATATATACCTTAACCAAGTTTAGTGTTTTGTTTGTTGTTCTCTCATATTTTAATTAATATATATATATATATATATATATAATATTTTCCTCATATTTTGATGGTTTAATTGAACTTGTAGGGTCATTTAAAACAAATATCCCCTCCGGGCATCATTTTTGGCCACTTCAAGTGGTGTAACAATATACCGTCACCATATATTGCAATAGAAAAAGGCATCAATGTTTTCAGACTATATTTTAAGATAGCTCCTGTCTGTATACACGAAGTGAACTGTATTTATAAAGTATCTTCTTATTAAACGGTCTGTAGACTTCCTAAGTTCTCAATGCTTCGTTTTGCATGTATGAAGCCTCATTATGTTACTGCGTTAGTGCGGGGCTATTTTGAGCCTTGTTAGTGGTATAAACTAGATTTCTTTTTACTTAGTCAATGCCCCCATTGCTAGCATTATACGCTAAACAGTTTAATTAGAGATAAAAACTCTTTACATTCGATTATCATGAAAACAAATCTCAGAGAACGATTGACTAGGTACCGATGTTTTATTAGACCAAAGGTTCATTGTTCACCGGAGTTCTCCTTTAAGTGTTTTAGTCACAATTTTCTGAAAAGACTTGATCTCTTTATATGATAAACTGATTTAACTTAGTCTTTTATTCACATATAAACTTGTTTGATCAGCAAACATAAACAGAATCTCAACAGAACTTGCTTAATGGGCGAGAACAAACCTCATTGGTTCTTGCGGTAGCTCAGTCGTGCTGCGTAACACAGAAACCTCATTGGTTCTCGGACGTCAAGCAAACATGCTTGAGCTTCCACTTACCAACCTATGTGCGAGTTGATGAACTGACTTGATATGTGAATAAAAGCCTAAATTAAATCTGTTCAATTCATATGGATTAGTTTTACAATCTCTTTATGAAATTTTGAAATGAAAAAGTGGTAGTTGCGCAGACTGTCAATGGAGAGACAGATATCGCTCAGATTTCATTAAAATATCTTCATTTATGTTTAGAAGATAAACGAAAGTGATAGGGTTTTGGAATGACATGAAGGTGAGTAAATAATTTTTAAATAATAGAATTTTAATTTGTAGGTGAACTAACCCTTTAAATAAACAAACCAATAGCGAATGAAAACAAAAACGAAGACTAAACTAATAATCTTGCGCTGTGTCCGAAACCGAATGCTTCCCTACTATGCGAAAAAGAGTACGCCACAAAGAGTAGTCTGAATAGTATTTGAAAAACAGCAGTCAAAAGCCGCTGGGTGACGTACTACTTTCGCAGACATTCTGAAGTGCAAATTCGATTTATTATCCCACGAGGCCACGGGAGGGGATTTATGAATCGAAGTAAAGCGACGCAACTGATGCTGGTAGATCACGTGACAGTATCAACAAGGAGGATGTAGTACATCTGAATTTCATTCATACTAACTATATAGAACATCACAATCACAAAGTAAACACAAATTTAGAACTTCTAGGACAGTTTGTGATTTCGGACGCAGCGATGGTTTACTATTTAAACATTATATTTCCTTCACGCATTTTCCAAATAGTTATATCAGGCAATGTGAGATCAGAATTAAAGTCACTCCCCCGGCCTCTACAGAGCTGTGCTTAAACAGCAAAGCTGTATCTTCATATGAGCAATGTCATTAACCTTTGCAATTCAAACCATGGGACACACTAAGGAGATGGAGGCGGTGACCCTTGAGCAATATGTCGCCATCAGGGACCCAACTGCACAAATATGCTGAAATATGGCCCCATCACTGACGTGTGTATATAACACTCCCTGGAGAAATATAGATTGAATTTACTTCACACTTGGGTAGATCAGATTTGATACAACAGGGATACATATACACAGGCTGATCTCCATATGAAAGCCATTTTATATCATGGTATGAAGACACTTTCTTATGGCAGTGAGTCTTGGCTGATTAATAAGGGCTTGTAAAACTGTTGCAAGACAATGATGATGATATATCAAAGTTGAACGGGCCATGACTTTGAGGATGCCCTCAATTTCATGCTGTCCAATTGGATATCTGCAAAGAGACATCTTCAAACTTGTGCAGTATAGTCTGACACAGACCATGTCCACAATGGAAAGCTGCTGCCAGGACAGATTAATGTGCTTGGCCTCAGAATTGCATGGTTTGCATCTGGCTAATGGTTTGCATTACAGTACATCTGAATATAATTTGATGTTCAATCTTTAACCATACAGTTAATATGTTAATGTATCCATCATTACAAATGGAAACGCCTAGCCCCTGCTGGTCTGCACCATTTCCAGGTCACTAATCAAATAAGCTCATTTGCGATTCCAACCATGTAAATCTTGTACAAAGGATCAGATTTCATTAAAGAACAAGATTTTTTTTTTTTTAACAAAATAAGAACATACTAAGAAATTCTGAAACTCATATTGACTTTGCAATCAAGCTCAAAATAGTTGATATAATTATATACAGTATCATCCGTAATGATTTTTTTTAACATTATAAAATTGTTAAATCATTTGAAAGCATTTTCTCCAGTGTTGTCTCTGACTTTTTGACCCCACTTTGTAAGTACTACACAGTTTACAGTCAGTAATATTTTTATGTTTTTGAAAGAAGTCTCTTATGCTCACCAAGGCTGCATCTATTTGCTCAAATATGTCAAATATAGAGTAAAAGCTGTAAAATATTATTACAATTTAAAACAAGTTTTTTGTATTACTGACCCCAAACAAAATGTTTCATGATTTGTGATCACAACTTTTTTATCTTTTGTCAAATCAACTTACTGTATATAATTAATGTGGTTTAGATAACAATATTTTGAATGTCTATTTATTAAACCACTCTCCTTCATTGTACTAACTCTCAATTTAAATGACCGTAAAATTAAGGCAACCAGGTAACTTACCTTTTTACGTTAAACCAACAATAACTTTTTACAGCTTAGTTACACTGGCAATATGTTATGCAACATTAAAAAAAGTTGTAATGCAACCATTATAAACAGTCATACTTTTAAAAAGATATTTCACTGATAGAATAGTGAGAGCGTATCTTAGCAGCATGATTAGAAAACTGGAAATATGTGATTTTGCAGATTTTTAAATACAACATTATACTAACAAAAACACATTTAGCTGATATAAAACAAAAACAGTGACACTAATTGAAAGCAGTTCTTATTTAGACTGTTGTCATGTGATAGTCATACAGTGAGGATAAGGGTTAAAAAACCTCCAATGACAGAATTAGTTGCAGTTCCGGCTAGGGGGAGCAGGGAAATGTAAACAGCCTGTAAGAGGTGTAGAGTGGCATGAAGCTCCACACCTTTCCTGCTGTGTTTGGCCAGTGGTTTGGAACGATGGCACAAGGATTATCACCGTGCAACGAGGACAGAAGCTCACTACGGCCTGCCAACTTCAACAAGGCAGGCGGGTCCAATGACAGCAGCCCCTATCAACACGGCTGCAACACACTTAATCACCTTATTACCGTGGCCTGGGCTACATGGGACGCAGACTGGGGTGAGAGTGGAGGAGTGTGCAACATGCAGGCGTTCACACGGATGTTTGCTAGTGTGCTCGTGTGAGGTACTGTATGTCTAAAGGGTTGGTTTGAAGATACTATATAGTAGGGGGGGTTGAGTTTGGGGTCAGTAGATTAATTCAAAATAAATTTGAGACGTTTTTAACAAACTTAAAATCTGTCATGAACATTTCCAGTTACTTTTACAGTGATGCAACTCTACAGTAAAACACTGACACTTTATGGCAAATAAATACAATAGCTAGTGTTAAAAAAAAAACAACTTAAATTAAATACTATTATCACAACATATTTTCTTTTTTCAAATCAACTTTAGAATAATTTATTTAGTTGAGATAACTTATTATTTTGAGTTTCTGATGGTTAAAATAATCTACTTCATTGTATTAACTCACTTTTTCCAGTTCAACCAACTTAAATTTTTAAGGCAACCCAGGTTACTTACTTTTTTAAGTTAAACCAAAAATATTTTTTACAGTGTAGTAATCACAACATTTTTTCTTTTGTCAAATCAACCTAAATAATTTATTTAGTTCAGATAACATATAATTTTGAGTTTTTGATGGTTAAATTAATTTTCTTTTTTACCTAATGTGAAGCCAGAATAATCAAGATAAATTTAGCTGGAGATGGTCAATGTAAATAATCAATCAAAATAATGCAACCACTTAATGTTTACAAATTTACAGAAAAGGTTCCTGAAATTAAGTGCAAATGGGACTATGTAGCTTATACATATTAAACAAGTCCATACTTTTGTATACATACATAATTGATATTATACTACTACTAATAATATGTATTATATAATAGTAGCATATATTGGTGTAGAATTAATATTGTATAACATTAATTTAAAACCTGAAAGAGCAGTTCAGTTGCACTTGACATGTGAGGAGCACATTTATTCACCTGGTATTGCTGGTAGTTGTACAGGTTGCTATAGTAGGACGTGTACGGTGTGGGCTGGTAGAGGTTGTAATAGGAGGCATCCACCATCAGCTCAGAAGGACCCTCATTGTGCCCTCTGCTGGCCACTGCAGAGCTTAGAGTCAGCATGGAACGGCTCTCTGAAACATCAGACAATAGGTCAAAATTCTCTGACAAATCCTTCAGATTCAAATTTTACACAATATATAAAATTGTAAATTATACAGTTTCTATTTTGTTTTTTAAATCAACCAACTGAAATGTATTCCTTCCAAGAAAACGTTTGGGGGAAAAAATGTTCTCAAAAAGTTTAAAAGGCATAAAAACATGCATATGATAAACAAATGAAAAATGTAGTAACTAGGGGTGTAACAATAGATCATGTCACAATAAAAAAAAAATGCAACAATATGAATTGTGGATAGTGACAATACTGTATATATTGTGCATAGTTCATAGTTCACAAAAAGTTTTCAGTACTATATTAAACTAATGATGTTAATGTAATGTATAATAATGCAATGAGGAAATATTTGTGGGTCCTGATAAAAAGTGTTCTACATTATTTTAAATGTATTGAGTGCAAGCATATTCGTGTAAATTAATTCTGTATTTTTAGCTTCAGAACCATGACTATTTTTATTCTGGTGTCATCATTGTTCTGTGCAATGGGTTACCAGCACCAAGTCAAAGTCTATTCACTTCCAATTTTAACCAACAGCACAATTTTTGTTACTTGGAGTATCACAACAATATCGTATCGTGAGTTCAGTTTCGTGATATATATCGAATCGTGCCAATCATAAAATGTAGAGCCCAAGAGATATTCTCACATTTCACACAAAAGTCTGCAAGGCATAAAAAGAAAGAGAAAGTGACATATAAAAGAGACAAGTATAGTAACCCACACTCAGAATTTGTCCTCTGCATTTAACCCATCCAAGTTAGTACACACACATTTTTTTTAATGCCATGCCAGCTTCTGAGGCTATTTTCATGGTGAGAAAATAGTGTATGTTAAAACTATATCAGATATTTACAATTTATTTTTGCTAAAAACTCCAAAACTATATTTGGCTTAACTTTGTTAAAAATGTCTTCAAAAGAGGGTTTCTCAGAGGGGTAAAACAAGCAGATAATAAAACATGCTTCAATGACAAAACGCATGTCATCCTGCAATGGTAGACTCTGCAATGGGTATCACACTTTTGAGTAGTGAAAAACATGCATATGATCAACAAACGCTACATTTAGTAATGATTTAAATAGTCTTTAGTGACCGTAATGGCACGGATTCACAGTAATATAAAATGCCAGTTCAAGTAATTTTGTCTGCATGTGTGATATGCCATGCGTCACTTTATCTCTGACGACAAATTCTGAAAACTTCCAGTAACTCCTGCTTCATCTTTCAGCAAGGAGGCAGCTGGCTAAATCACAGAGCACAGACAACCTTGACCTGTCTGGTATCCAACTCCTTCCTTAATCGTATCGGAGAACCAGGAACAGGATGTTTCTCTCATTCATCGAACACAACAGACACAGACATGGTCTGGCACGGCACAATCGCCATCTACGCTGATAGCCTCCCGCCTCCCTAATGAGAATGGATGTGCACCTCACTGACTGTACCGTGTCCTGAAGAAGTTGGCAGAATTGAGAATTATGGGATGGTTACAAGATGTTCATGGTCATGGTTCCTTTAGTTTTTCCTCTGCCACTCACACAGTGGATAGCTCTGGGGGTCAAGATGTACTAATCTTTTTATTTTCCCATGGTAAAGTGACAAAGGGCTGATTCACAGAAACCTCCTACAAAGACTTGAGCTTAGGTCTTATCTTAATAAGAGGGTGTAAATTGATGTACAAATGATGAGAATGAAAAAAAAAATGCATAAGTTTGTAGTAATGAAACTTCTGATTCTACGCTTCTTAGGCATTCATGATAATATAATTTGATAACATGCCTTTTAAAACACAATGTTAAAGGGTTTTGTTGCATTAAGAGCTTTTGCTAAATACAAAGCTCCAAGTAGTGGACATACAAGCTAAGTGAATAGAACTTTAAAATTGATATGAACCTTAAAGGTAGTTCACTTAAAAATTAAAGTTCTGTCATTATTTAGTCACCGCATCAAGTTGTTTCAAACCTGTATGAATTTATTTCTGCTGCTGAACACAAAAAGAAGATATTTTGAAGAATGTTGGTAACCAGACAGCTGATGGACATCATTGACTTCCATAGTAGGAAGATAAATAGTAAATACCCCAAAAATTGGTTACTGACATTCTTTAAAATATTTTTAGACAAAAAGTTTTTTTTTTATTCTTTATATTTTCCTGACATTATATATAGGAAAGAATTGACAACAAACCTTTGAATTATTAGAAAAATAATATACACCTGCAATGTCTGTGGCCAAGCCATGAAGCCTCGGGTGTGTTTTATTTTCTAATAATTAAACGGCAAGTCGTCAATTTGACACTACGGAATTTATTGATATATCGATTTCTGTATTAATATGTAAAGATATAATTCTGTAAAGATATAATCACTATATTATTCCACAATACAGTTTCCAAAACTTCAAGGCATTGTTCAGATGTTGTGTTTTAAGATATTTGTCAGGTTTTAGTCCTTAAAACTCTCGTGTGTAGGACAAGCATTCCACAGCCCCATTGTATAATATATATAAATTACTCAAAAATGTATGAGATATGATATGAGATTAGGGAAGACTAGGGCTAGTTGTCCCATTTTAGCTGTAGTTAAAATTTCTCAAGGTCATTTTTTTTTTTTTTAGTAAATTTAATTTACCTTTACCAAAGATTGGTACTATTTGACTACAAAAACTACTGCACATTTATGCCATTTACCAGAGAGAGAAAAGGAAGATACTAGCGTTTAACATGTTGAAACTGTAATGAAACCGAAAGTACATAAAATGTAATAACAAAAACATTGTTTAAATGTAAAATAAATTGTATAATACATACAACAAATACAATAAGTTGTGGTCAAACGTAAAAAAAAATTAAAAAAGTTCAGTAAAAACTGGACTTGAGAAATGGAGATATAGGTTATCCTCTGTGGTATTGTTTTCGTTAGTCAGCTTCTCTCACCTAGGTTGGTTGGAGATGCGGTGTTACTGCTGTTAGTGGGTGATGGCGGTCCTGAGCTGATAGTAAACACATTCACATCACCCACGACCTCGTTCTTCACCATAGTGTCTGAACCGGACAGGTTAACCGGACTGCAGATGCCCATCTCTTCCTCTTGGGCCTGCTGCCTCCGTAAGGCCACCTAACACGACAAACATTGAACTCAAGGCCCAGCTGGGACAACAAGTTCACTCTCTAATGCATTAAAAGTATCACGAGACATTTAAAATAGAATTTCCTAACAATTAAATTACCAAATACTTACTAAATGATAGTTATTACACAGCCTGTTTTATTCGAGAGAAGAAAAAAAATATCGGCGCCAAACTGCAGCTAGCTGAAACAGTCGCAAAAACTGCACTGTTTAACAATGTAGCTAGAAGCCGTTACTAAACTTGTAAACAATTTATCATGAATTTTGTAGCAAACAGTATAATTATTCGTAAACTCGACTGCAAAGAGGAAAAAAGACAACAACAAAAAACATGCGATGCGGTTGATGCAGTGAGTTAAGTTAACGATGAATAAAAAAACCGATAGGGGGAGGCAAGGCATGGCATATGGATAAGTTAAAAGTTTATAAACAACACATACACAAACACAAACAATGAATTTAGATCACAAGAGAGCGGAGGATACAACAAAACAGGAAAAAAAACAAACCCAAATCAGACATGGTTGAACTTGCATGGTCCTAACAAGGATGGCTCGTGTGTAACGTTACCTGGGCTGCCATGACCCGCTGTCTTTCAGCGATAAGTCTGCATTTTTGACACTGACAGTCTCTCCAGTTGCAAAAGCGTTTGTGGCCCTTTAGCGGAGACACGAAGCCGTGGTTCCTGCAGCGTGAGCATTTGGGCATACGGGACGGTTTCCTGACAGCCAGCGGGCCGTTACTCTGCTCTTCCTCACTCATCCTGACAGGTGGTTATATGACAGTCAGCCTCTTCTGCTGCTCATATGTCACGCAGCGGATTATAAGACGTTTATATGGAGGGGGGCGGGGGGGGGGGCGCAAGGGGGGTTGGTTGGTTGGTTTGAGGTTTGATACAATAGGCGAATGTTTGGCGCGAGCAAACCTGTGCATTCCAGTGCGCGTGGGAGCTTATTATGTTCAGTTTCTTCCCACTGAGACCAAAGTGACTCCCAAGTGTCTCGTGAAATCATAAGACACAAAAAATGCGAAGATTTCGTTATAAGCGCGTTTAAATTTTGTTGTATATGGGTCTCAAAGAAATAGAAAGTTTAATGATTCATCAAATGAAGGTCCAATAACCTTCTTGGAAGTTGGAACTGGCCGGGTGGTTTCAAACAGTGTCCGATTTAAGGAAATTTCAATTAAAATAAAAAGAATAAAAATACTTACATTCAACAATAATAATAAAATAAAAAAGACACCTAAACGTACTTTGAATGCAAAGGGATTTTTTTTTATTTAATTTTTTTAGTCCCAGTTTGAAAACCCATGAGCTAGCTAGATGACATCACTGTCCAGAGGGTATCATTAACCTCAATAATACAATTTCTGTGTAGTAGGAAACAATCGACTAGTTTTAATTTACTTAAAATATTATATAGCCTACGAGTGAAAGAAAAAAATTGTCACAATACATAACTAATTCTGAATCATGGTCAGTTGAGAAAAAAAAAAATGTTTAGTTACGTTCTCAGCCAGCAGGAACTAACTAGCCATTACCAGTCAGGAAATAGAGGAGGATGATGATGATAATAATAACTCTATTGTTATTATTATTCTCTTGTTATTAGTTATGCAGTGTCCATAACTAAAAGGCACTCCACTTCAATAGATTTGAAAAGGTGCTCATCATATTGTCATGCCTGCAAATCCCACCCCTGCAAATAACTGCAAGTCAAGCAAATTAGGAGGCATCATTTTAATTAGACCTACTTTAATAAAATATAGTAATATATTCAATGTTTAATATTAAATTATGTTTAAAAATACATTGGTTTAATGTATGCAATTACATTATTTTCAACTGAATATTTCCTGCTTGAATAATAGTGCATGCCTAATGAGAAGGGAGCTCAAGACAGCAAGTCATGCCTTATTCATAAAGAGTGTAGATTAGATTAGCTGTCCTTCCCAGTAGAGGGAGACATTGTACTGTTGACCTGTACGAAACCAGTGAAAGAAAAGTTTCATAGGAGAGACTAAAAACCAGCAACAAGCCATGTCATTTTATTTTAGTACTTTATTATCGAGTTATATGCTACTATCGGCAGTTTTCTGTTATCATATTTGTGACTACATGAAATGTCATATTAGATGCGAGACATAAGTTTATTACATAAAGGCCAGCCAAAGCTATTACATCTACACATCGCAAACATACATTATATACAGTGAAAGTACAATTATTTCCGATAAAAACCTTTAACTGGTAAACATATCTGAAATTCCCTACTGTGATTTTTAAATAGATGAAATGGCAAGTATAAAAGTAAGAACCATTTCCAATCTAGAAACATATGTATAAAACAAGTCTGTATTTCAACTTGTGATATGCACTGGACATCTCTGCTGAGGTTTTGATAGAGGAGAAAAGATTTAAACTATTAAGGCTGAAAATATTGGGCAGCATATACATGGTTCAAATATAAAACTCATTGTCAGGCAACATTGGCTCCATCTTGGAATTATAAATTATTGATTTAAAAAAAAAAAGAATAAGGGGGGGGGGGCAGCTTTGAACAGGACTATAGATAAGCTTTAGGCCACTTAAAGGAGGAAAAATATCAAGACATTTTCATATATTATAAAATGACATTTATAGGAGAATAAACAAAAAATCTGAAGGCAACTCCATAGACACGTTCCAGTTGACGTCTAGCTCTGATATTATGCTGGTGATTTCAGGCAGAAGAAATACTTCGTTTCAAAATACATTCAGGGTGAGTACAGATTTGAGGTCTTGAAAGGTCTGACTCTTAGCTAGCAAGTCCATTTGTATTATATAATCTGAAAGCCAAGGAGAAAGACATCACTAAGAAGACATTTGCAAAAGTGCTCAGTATAATTGCCTACTATCCATTAGTTGAGGTTTGAAGTAAGTTTTCAGTCTTTTAGCTTTAGATTTGGTTTCTAGCTGATGAAAATGGTAGGCATGGCAGAACCTGAAAAAATAGCAGCTCGGGCAGGGTGGGCTAAAAGCTCTCCAATCAAACATGTCCCTTCCTTGTAGGACTGGGTGAAGTCTTCCTCCCAAGACGAGGCGTACCCTGTGAACAGACATAAAAGGTATGATTAAGAGCCAAACATGAGTCGGCTGCCAAAATACATAACCATTATAAAAGAACCTAAACTCATTCTGAAACTTTATATTAGTGTGCAAAATATCCCAATTTTGCAAGCTCTTTCAAAAGAAAGACATTTTGAATTATCATCATAATGTACAAATACACAGATAAAATGAATGGATTGCATATCAGCTGAATGTGAAAGTGTGGTCACTCACTGGTGATTGTGCTTTGGAGAAGTTCATATGGGCATACAGCAACACTGCTATGTCCTTATGACCCGCTTCCAGAGCAATTGACAGGGCATTACTCTCATCCTAGGGACAAAACAAAACATTTAAGTGGTCAAACGATTCATTAGCCTTACTGGCTTTCTCCTAACAATACTGCTGTATCCACTGAGAGAAACGAGTTAGACGCATTATAGAAATATACGTAATGTTCATTAAACATATTTGGTGGATTATCTAGTTTAAATGGGGACTCTGCTCACTTACATTATCGCTGAGTGTGGCGTCGCAGCCCGGCTGAGCCAGCAGCAGCTTGACTATCTCAACGTGGCCGTGTTCACTAGCGCACATGAGCGCGGTCGAGCCCTCATCGTCCTGGATGTTGACGTCTGCGCCGCAGGCGAGCAGAGCCTTCACCATGTCCATTCTGCCATGACTGACAGCCAGCATCAACCCTGTCTGACCAGCCTGGATTCACAGGGTCAATGAGATCAGCTTAGACACTTCTATATAACTGTGTGGAAAGCTATTCATCTAGGTTAATGCACATTTATAAACATACTATACTGTAGGGCTTATTCTTGTTTGTTATTAACGCTCAAACACTTGCAGTGTAACTGTCGGATCACACTGACCTGGCTGGCTTTTGCGTTGACATCTCCTTTGCTGAACAGCTCTTCAACCACCCTCATGTCCTTCGGGGCCTCCACGGCAGCTAGTGCTGCTAGCATGATGGGAGTATAGCCCGCCTTGTTCTGCTGATTGACATTGCAGACGTCTGTGATGAAACAGAGAGAACAGGGGAATCAGAGAGAACGCCGAGCCCACCCTCGAAGTAAATGCATTTGGAAGGAAGCCATCTTTTGTGTGAATTTAAGAGATGCAGGCTATTCAGACTCAGAGTCATGGGCTGTGGAATAAGAGAAGGACCAACGCGGGGCTTCGCTGACTGGCAATGGGGCAAAGATGGCCAGAGGGTCTGAGAATGGAAGCAGACAATCGAGACAATGGGGGCTGCCCGAAAAGAGTCAGATAGTAGAGGAGCACAAAGAAGTTGGGATAATGGGCTTTTATTTTCAGGAGTCGAGGCACCTCATCATGTGGTATTCAGAGAGGTCTTTGGTGCTTTTTGAAGGGGGAACACTGGGAAACGGCCTGAGCCTGGATGTGGCTGGGGAATTTGCCATTAGCTTACATACACTACCATTCAAAAGTTTGGGCTTAGTAAGATTTTCAAAAGAAGTGTGCTCTAACTCAATAAAATACTCCGATACCTACACTCTAAAAACAAATGGTGCTAGATAGCACTAAAAGTGTTTCATTGGCTTGTAATCATAGGGGAACCACTTAGCACTTTATCTTTGTCATATGGTGCTATGTAGAACCATAAGAGGTGCCATAGAGCACGTTAACCACCTCAGAGAACCACTGAAGAACCAAACTGGGCTTAACAGGTTCTTTAAATGATAGTGGTGCTATAGCACCATGACCAACGCAAAGAACCGCTGAAGGACCTTTTTTTTTAGAGTGTAGAACCAATAACATGCAGTTGAGTGCTTGTGACAGAGAAACAGACAACAGAGAAAAAGAGAGCAGAATGGATATATCAGAGAAGGTAAATGTATCAAAATAATAGAATGTTAAATAAATACAATTTCTACGCCTATAGCTGCTGAGCACACAGATTTTATTGAGCGCACAGCGACAGACACGAGAGCTGGTCGAGCTCACAACCCTTTTTCATAGACGTCGCTGAAAATTTTGTAGTTTAGTTGGAAATGATAGCAAAGAAAGTAAAATGAGGAGCATATCACCAGCATTAACTGACGGTAAAGAGAAAGCGAACACTTCGATTGTTTATTTTTGATTGCTAATTGTTCACTCAGCACACTTGAGTCATTCAAATTAAATCTAAATCTTATTTGTGTAAGTACAAATATCAACTGTTACATGATTTATGTATAATGAGTGGTTCCCTACATTTTCAGGAAGGCAGTACAGTAAGCGAATGACATTTTCAGTAAGTTTTCTGTGTGCAAACATCAGAAGCGCGCACCCAGAAAAGCTGCCTTCTCATCTCTTTCATGTATTCTTGTGCTTTAACGGACAAATTCACACAAAATTAAGTGAAAAATGCCCGTATTGGCAAGTATCCTTGTGAAACATAGACGGTTATGTCTTAAGTGAATTTAAACAGTTAAAAAAATGATGCATGTAACAAGCATGTTGGATACATGCAGCTCTTAAAGTGACAGCAGCCTAATAACTACTTCTGTCATTGTCCTCAATGTTAATCTAACAACCAAAAAGAGCTCAAAATATTAATAGTGCTATTAAATTAAAGACAATAATATGAACAGTAAAAATAACACTGTTCATTTTTTTTTAGTTGTCTGTGTTACTGTTTGTTTTGTAACTGTTCGTGATTGGACCATGTGTGTCCTTAATAAAGCTTTGATAACAGTTCCTACAATACATTTTAACAGACATAATTTGGCATTAAAATAACTGAAGCAAATGTCTATTAGATAAGCCAACTAATTTGATTCATACTGTATTATTTTGGTTCCTTTTCCCAATATAAACAAAAAAATGCAATGAAAATAAAGGTATCGGTACTCTGTATCAGCAAGTACTAGTATTGTATTGGACTCATTTTGGAAAAAGTGGTATTGGTGCCACTGGTGGAAAAAGTACTAATTGTACTCAAGTAAAAGTAGTGCTACTGAAGTAATAATTTACTTGAGTACAAGTAGAAGTACTAAAAAATAATACGACTCAAGTAAGAGTAAATAAGTAGTTTGCTTAAAAACTACTCAAATGACTACGTTACAAAGTACTTTAGTATTATTTTTTCTATTTTTACCCAAAATGGGAAGATGATAGCGATATGGAGCACTACACTCAACCCTTTAATGCAATGCGAATCAACATAGCTTGCATCATATAATTTAATACAATAACATGAAACTGACATGTAAACTGACAAGTCCAGGAAAAATCATTTAAATGTTTCATTTGAATCATTTCAAAATTGAAAGCAAAGAACGTTAAGTGACAGGACCCATAAAAAAGAGAGATTTACAACAGTAGCAGTAACAGTTCACTGAAATATTGAAACGTTAGCGATACTGATTCAAACACGAGCGCCAGTGATTGAATGACAAAGCGCGGTTTGAACGCCCCACCCCCCAGCCGAACTGAAAGTTTTGATTGGTTTTGCACCCGAGTCAGAGCTGTCTGTTATTGACCGAAGCGCTTGATCTGTCTGTTATTGGCTGAACTGCTTCAGATCTGTCTGTTATTGGCTGAAGTGCAGGGCTCCACCACAGTAGTTTTGAAAAGTGTCTGCCAAATGTCAGCTAGCTTGCCCTGTTGTTCCGTCGGCACCTTTGTCATAGTACCATAGTACTTTGTACTTTTGGTGAAAAATAAAAGTAGTGAAGTTGAATACTTTATTTTAATTCTACTCAAGAGTAAAAGTACCACATTTTAATTATACTCAAGAAAGTAGAAAAAAAAAATCAAAAAATCTACTCAAGTACTGTAACGAAAGTATTTGCAAAAAGTTACTTTCCACCTTGCATCCCTACAATTAACATTCGTATCTGGTGATCCGATCACAAACGCACAGGACCCAAAGTGTTTATGTGATCTGATTACATGTATGTGATCACGTGGCTTTATTCATGCCGATGCGTCCCAAACAACCTCAACACACTTCACCTTCACACTCGTCAATCTTCCACTGCTCTAAAAAGATGGCAGTGGCTTTAAAAGAAAATGTGGAATGTGAGTCACATACTTACCAGCATCCAGCAGCTTTTTTACAATGTGGAAGTTGGAATGGGATACACTGTAATGGAGGGCGGTGTTTCCGTTGCCATCAGCCATATTTACAATGTGTTGTAGCAGGACAGGGCAGATGCCTCTGAAAGCATTCAGGTAATCCTCCACCATCTCTGCCACGGCCGTCTTCTGACTGGACACACGGAACCACTCGTGCTGCACTGTGTTCACATATGGCCTCTGGAATGACACAAAATGAGAAAAATTGATTGAGATCAGAATGTATTACAGGGGATTTACCTGAATTGTGCTCTATTGTAGTAACACTTCAACATGGAAGGAATGCCAAAATCAATGTAATGATCCTAATTAGCCTATATCCACTTATTAGACACATCCTTTCTGAAATGCAGGGATAATACAGCTTTGACTTGAGGCAGGACTTAGGCGTAGGCCTGTCAGTGCACAGCTGGGTGCGTCTCAGACCCTGTGCTCGGGGTCAGCAGAAATAAGTGTTGATCCAACATTCTTTTACACCACGTTACCCACAAAGGAGCCCATTTCCTTCCCGTTCAGGCGCAGTGAAGCGGAGCATGAAGAAACATCTAAAACTCTAATTTGCTTTGAATCAGTTGGTTGTTTGGCAAGATTGCTGACTAAGCAAAAAATAATAATAACTTTTAAAAAACGGCAAAACTTAAGAAAAGACAGGATCTCACCAAATAATTATACTAATCTAGAATCACAGATATTATTTTTGTGCACTGAGGGTTTACACAGGGTTATATTATCTTACCACATCTTTACTGGATAGAGTCTTGGGGTCGCTGAGGTGGGATTTCAGCATGTTGCATGCAGAAAGCATCTTCTCATTCAAATCATACCTGGGAAGAACAAAAAAAAAGCAGTTTTACTAAATGCATGACACTTCTGACTGCTAACCAGTAGGGGGATTCAGGATTCTCAACACTTGACAAAGATGTAAATGCTAATGTATTTCCATTACCTGCATACAAGTGCATAATCTGTCAAAAATAATTTTACAAGAACATCTGTGAGCTGTTTTGTGGCTTATTGGCTCTCACATTGTAGAAAAAGACAACAGAGACTGTGGTCATGTGATCTGGTTATCTGACTTAATGAACAATATCCCGTGAATGATCCTACTGGACTAAACTAGGAATCTCTTATTTCTCTCCCGTCTCTCTATTATTCTAATTCCAAAGTAGCGATTTAAAACTTTATTTGTGTCTCCCCTTCATTTCCAATCTCTATTAGCATCTTTTACTGTTGGAATGCTTGTAAATTAGGGAAACATAATAGAGAGCCTAAGTCCCGCCCCTCCACTTCCGGCTCATGGGACTTTATTTCGGAAAAAATATGAATGGTAGTCAATGGCGAGAGACCACTTATCTTTTTATTCCGTCTGAACTGTGCCCTTAATTACACGTATGATGTTTGTCAATTTAAAAGATAATTCTGAAAGTCAAAAACGCCGCAGTTTGTCATACAACAGAAGAGTAACATTTAGTTTTATGTGAAAATCGCTCTGTGAACTACATCTCCTGGGAAGCGAAACGAGATCCGCTGCTCGTGTGTGTGCAGTCTGGTACAAAACACTCAGGTAGGACAGCGTAACGTTACGATTCTAACGTAAGACTGTAGAAACAATGACAGACAGCCTCAGAAAAGTTAGCTTTAATCATTGAGAGAAAATGTGCGCCTTTGGGGTTTGTAGTCTTTGTAATTACGTATTTTCACAGTCTTATACCTCAACGGTTTTACATCAAACTGCGACTTTCTTTACTTTAAAATGTATCTTTTAAATTGACAAACATCATATGTGTAATTCAGGGCACAATTCAAACGAGATCAAAATATTTGTTGTCTCTCGCCATTGACTACCATTCAATATTTTTCCGAAATAAGGTCCCATGGTGGTCGACCGGAAGGGGAGGGACTTTCTATAGACCACGTCTAAATGTATATAGAACTATCTGCCAAAGTATTTTTAAAAGTAGTAAATGGTTGAAAATATATAAATGGATTTTTCCATTTAGCATGGGTAAGTGTGATCAGCTCTCTAACTGATCACATTGGAGACGGATTGAAAGGCAAAGTGTAAATGCATTCTAGCTAAAAGAAAATATCCAGAAACTATCCAGATATGAAATAATGTTAATTCCAGGTGGAAAGAGGACTACCTGGAGATTATGAAAAGCATTACTTTAGGACTCTTTCTCATGACTCATGTCAGGCTTGGTATGCAGGATTCTTAACTGATAGGATTATACAGAGCTCCCATTCCTGCCTCCAGTGACTACATTCCACTTTTTAAATAACTTTTCAAATATTACATTGCAGGCATCACAGCCAAAATACCTTAAATTTTCTTTCTAATGCAAGAGATGCTTGAATTGGTCTAGAGTCATAAATGACGCAACACTAACTATGGTTCACTTGTTGCATGTGGATCTAAGAGTTACTGGCAGTACTTGCCTCTGCCTTTTGTCCTGGCCTAAATCTTCAGTGTCTCTATCTTCATCCACTGCTTCATTGTTTCGGAATTCTTCTTTCCTCCTTTCTCTCACATTCGCCATCTTGTCTTTCTCCTCCCCTTCATCCTCTGACCCAGAGGAGCTGCTCTCTTCTGAGCTGGAGTCATCGCTCGATGTTGTCTCGTACCTAGAGATGGAAAACATTTACATGATACTCTAGAATACCTTATTCTGACAGTTCAACTGCAGCACTGATTTGGTAAAATAACCACTTATCACTTATTTATTCATGGCAACACACCGAATTTCATGCGCAGGTTACTAAGAATATATACATTTATATTGTAACGTTGTTGCAGCTTAAGCTAAACTACAAGTAATAAGTCATGCTATTTTGTAAGTAGCCATGCATTAGTGTCTTGATCACCCTCAATTTGTTTTTTTGGTTGTATGCCTTACATATGACCAACATCAACTGAGACATATTTTTTATCATACACTTCTTCCATGAGAAATAGATTTTCTCGTCTTACTTAGAAAGAGAACCTACCCTCCATTCACACCAACAAACTGCAAGTTCTTTTTTGTGCCATTAGGTCCCTGATGACCGTCTTTCTTCATGATGGACTTCAGGGTGCTGTGACTGCCTAGTAGGGAAGACAAATTCAGACAATCAACAATTATTATTTTATACTGCTAAAGTATAGCTTAATTATTTACATTTTAAATCATATTTTTCCAGGTACAAACAGTAGTCAGGTATTCAAGTTTACATGCATATTGTTAGTGCAACGATTTTAATATAGCGATAATTTAATATCTTTAATATTTTGTATTTTATAAATAAGTAATATTATGTCTCGACCAAAAATGCAGACAGAAATCTACACACCCTATCAAAATTGATAGAAACGCATAAAGCTGACATCATGATTTATGAAATACAGTGTTATAGCTGTTATGGGAAATGAACAAGAAGAATCTACTTTAGCCAGCAACAGCTAATCATGACCATAAGCTGGAGTTGGCTATACTCTTCCAAATATTGACATGTAGAATGTCCAAACTTATTGTCATTTTCAACAGAAGAAAATATCAAGCGAGTTTTTCCTAGTTCAGGAAAAAAATCAGTGTTTTTCTAAAAACATGCATTTAGAAAAAGCAAAAGAAACATCCCGCAGCCTAAAGCTATGGCAAACATGTTAAGTACAGGCTTTGCTCTGCCAAATACCAAAGAGGATCACCGCCCCTCTCCACGGAGACTGAAAAAAGAACAGTTCTGAGAACTGCCAGAACATGCCCTACAGATGGACACACTCCCTCTGACTGTCTCTATCTCGAACATTGTGGATGATGAAGACACTCATTATCCACGTTTCCCTTATTTTGACGGGTGAGAGCAGTTGAATCCCTGGAACTACATCCCTTGAAGCTGTTAATCTGTTACATGCTCTTCTAAGACAGTCAAACAAGTGTGGCTTCATGAAAGAAAAACAAAAAAAACATCCATCAAGGGGAGTTCAACATGTAGATTCTTTTATAATGGTTACGAGACACAGGTGAATAGGGTATTTTTTAACTAGCAGATATCACCATAAATCTTTCCCAGTTGATTACCTTTTAAAATGAGAAAAAAAAATGTATGACACGTTTTCTGATTAAATATGCAAATTACACATTATCTAATTAAATATGCATTAATTTGCATCCACTATAGTACTCATCTATTAGAGTATTGCATAAAGCCAGGTTCAAAATTATTTTTTCATTGTGTTCATATTAGATGGGGAAAAAATTACAGAGGGATTTATGGATATACTTTTGATATCCTATAAATCAGAATATACTGTAAATAGCCTTAAAAATGATTTTTGCCATGTTTTTTGGAATAAAATGTTACAAATCAGGCTATAGGAATAATATATTTAAAAGTCCCTCTGTAAATGTCTTCATAATATAACTGGGTACAAGAATGGAGAGTTTGGTGTGTATATAGGTGCTACTGAAGTGGAGATTTCAGACTTGGAGTATGAGAGAAAAGATTGGTTGGTTGCTGATAAAAAAAAGAGCATATTTGGATCCGACAGCATTGTACAGGAGAGAGAGAGGTTTCTAGCGGTGTTTGTGATGACCGTGCAGACAGCGATCGCGGTGCAGCAGGATGATTTAGAATGCCAACTTACGAGAAAGTTACATATGCAAACAGACAAAGTATAGTATAAACACCTAAATGTGTATTTCTGACTTTTTGAAAGAAGTCTGAAAGAAGACATGTTATTGAAGACAAATATCACAAAATTTCTAAATTGACCAGTGAAAAAAAGATGTTTTTGCCTGCCTTAAAAAACTACAACTGACTAAAACAGCAAACATATTTACAAATTTGTCTTGTTTAGTGATAGAACTGGGCATACAGTACCATGCAATGCTGTGGACATTTGCTGGTCCATGCGGCTTTTCTGTGTAGCTGTACTGTGTTCATGCGAGTCGTCAGTATAGACATTTTCTATCCGTGAGACCTCTGTTCTCACACTACTAGAGTGGGAATCGACTGCATTGACCATCTGAGTTTCTGGATAAATGGAACAAGAAGAGACAGAAAAAAGGCAGACATGAGGAACAGCAATATATTTCTGTACATAATTGCTCGCTCTTAAATTATATGTCCAAGAAAACATTATAATATGGCTCCTGTCAAAACAGAATTGCATGAAAAGGATATCAATAGCACATAGAATTGTGTCAGAATTTGTTCTTACAGATTATCTCACAGAGCAATGTGCAATGGTTATGATATGAATCTGAATTCAAGACTCAAGATATTCTTCAGGTTTAGATTTCAGATGGTCTTTAGTTGGCATGACCAAAGGTAGTAATAAACATTTCAGCAAAAGAATGTATAATATGGATGGAGAATACCTGAGAGCATCTCCTGCTTAATCTAGAGCCAAATCTTATCACAGCAGACATGGAAACATAAATCTTGGCAGCAATTTTGACTGATCCATTGGCTATAATACTTTGATGCGCATGTCAAATTTCTCTCCTTAATTCTCGCTTTCCCCTTCTTTACAGAGCAGAAGGAATTTTTATTTATAGCTTCAGAGCATTCCATAAAAAGACATGCTAAAACGCTGGTATTCTAAATAAAAGATTAGAGAGAAATACAAGAAGGTTGAACCAAGAACTTTTAGATTCCTACCATTTTTAAGCCTTCATTCGTGGAAATAAAAACAGTACTTGTGCACATACTTAATATACTTTGGATATGCTTCAAAAGTAAAAAGGGGCAGTGAAATATTTATCATTATGAAATCATCATTGAAATAAAAAAATAAAAAAAATCACAACAGCTCCCAAGTAAAACCAGACCAGATCATTGCAATATGCAAAAAAAGAGCTTTTAAAAATAAGCATAGATCCTTAAAGGGACACACCACCCATTTGCATTAAGCTTTCCATTGTTATAAACCCAGTCATTCTATTGAATGGTCGTGCAACACTCATTTTCCACTGAGACGAGAGACATCTGCTATTTACCTTTTTCACTTCCTCCCACAATGACGCAAAAATCGTCATTTTACGTCATTGTAGGAGAAAGAGTAAGAGTGGGGGATTTCTGTAAAGACTACAAGCACTAGTTCCCACCATTTCAAAAGCACTCATAAGGGACCTAATGTACTAACAGACCTATCATAGATCAGTGCCAAATTTTGAAAATAAGGACGGAGGTACTGAATAGGTAGATGGATACATTATGGAGGATTGGGATTACACGTCAGCCATTGTGTCAGCCATCTTTTTTTTGGAAGCTAAGCTAGCAGGCTCTTGTTCTGTGGAGAAAGCTGAGTAGTAGGGGTTACCATCCTCTTTTTCCGGACATGTCCGGCCGTCGATGTCCGGGATTCAGCTTTTGCTTTCTTCAGTCCCCATTCATTGTTTAAATGCACAGCTTTTGTTTCAACCAAACTGAATTCATTCTGATTGCTGAATCTGAACATCATGTTTACGTGAACGCTAAACAAGTGATCGGTTGATGTGCGTTTTACCATTGGTAAGAAAATTCCCGCTCCTCCGTGAGAGATACGAGACCGGTGTGTCTCACAGGTGTCGCTTATCATAAAAATTACACCACCAGCCTCGCACGGTTCTCCAGGGCCCCTCACTTGTCCTGCTCAACACAGTAAACATGATGAATGGCGACTGTAGAACGCAACAGCCGAATCCCGGACATTTTGGGCGATCTCAAAACACATTTTTGGGAGGATGAAGACTCACTAGTAGCCTAGACTTGTTGTTTAACTGCTGCGCTCTGTTACCGGTAGGCGTGGCCTCCTAGGGCAGCGAAACAAGTGCATTCTGGGAGTAGTTGTCTTTTATCCACATTTTCTGGCTTTTCTCAGCTAGAAAGCTCCAAATTCAAAAATAATTTCACATGTCTTCTACATATATGACCCATTTTAAATACACATTCATCTTTCCAGAGGTGAAGTATCCCTTTAAACATTGAGCATATAGGGTTTAAGCAAACTGCAACTAACCTTTCACAGTGTAGTCTGATTTCTCCTGCTGCCTTAGAAGGTCCACATTGCAGAGCTCCTCAACACTTCCATACTTCATAACTGAATTGATGGATGATAGTGTAGTAACTAGCTCACTGTTGATGGAGCTAAACTGGGATTGTTGAGGTGGGTCAAATGCATCTGCCAGCTCACTGTAGTTCTGAGCAAGCAACATCTGCTGTTCCTGCAAGAGCTTTTGCACTCTCTCTATGTAGTGATCAAGTCCAACACCTGCCCCAGCTGGTGGCTGGATGGGTCCTGCTGATGGCATTGATCCTACAGGCATAATCTTAACTTGGGTCGGGGCAGGAGACTGACAGGGGCCACAGGCAATATTCCTTGTCTTCTGACCGACTAAGAAGTTTTCATGTATGTTAAGGTGGCCAACCCCAGCCTCTTTAGTTTTGCAAGATGCTGACAAATCAAGCATAATCTCCTCAGATGCTGTAGTACCTACTGAAACGGAGCGTGTTTTCAATGTGGCTGGCACATCTTTTACAAGACCATCCCCAATGGCTATTGTACGAGTCTCCACTGGTACAGTGCTTACTTGTTTGTCTTTTGAGTATGATTGTGTATTAGTGCAGGAATCAGTAAGAATGGCATTGTCTGTATTGGTTAACTTGGCTATTGTCTCGATTTCTGTGATTGTGTACTGTGAAGCACACATGGGTAAGACCATGACTCCAAAATCAGTTCTGTGAACATCATCTGTTGCTGAGCTCTGGGTTACCATCTCCTTGATGGGCCTGACCATTACATCCACTGAACAATCTCCACATCCAATAGACCTGAACTCTCTGGCTTGTTCAGCCTCTCTTTTGCAAAGTCCTAAATCTTCAGCCGTTAACTCCGTGTTGATCCCCATTTCACATACACTTAATTCCACTCCCACACTCTGGTTGCACATCACAACCTGTCTGCCAACACACTGATCATGAACCTCAGCACGTTCTTGTACAACCCATCTCTCCATTGGCAACTCTTGACCCACCAAAGCATGCCTTGCATCTGGTCTGCAAGTAATGCCAACTGAATTCATTTTTGGGACATGATTTGTGCTTGCGTCATTAAACTCAACATGGTTGCCAACACCTTGGCTCTCTGTGGACACTCTGGCCTCCACTGAAATGCTGTACATCTCTGGCCTAGCCATCATACCCTTGTCTGTTTTTTTTCTCGATCCAGCCACTTGAAGCTGAAGCTTTAGCTTTCCCATCTCCATTTCGTGGGTGGTCTCCTTAAGTTGGACCTCCAGTCTATATATCTTTTCTTTGAGAGCTTCGATGGTCTGGTGTTGCATCTCAATTTCAGCTTCTACCTCACTGCTCATTCCTAGCATGGCTTCAGTCACACCAACACATGTGCTCTTCACCTCATGCTCCGTTCCAACAGCCACATCTCTGCTTTTCCCAGGAGACTTTCGGTAAACAACCACATCGTTCATGTTCTCATCGGCTCCGACACCAATAGACTTGCTCTCACGACTCCACCGCTGGGTGTTTTGGTTTGTTTTTTGCTCTGTTTGGTGTAAGCTGTGCTCTATTTCCTCACCATTGTCCTGTATGTTCCTCTCCAGAGCCTCCACCTCAGCTGTCAATTGCCTAAACTCTTGTAGCCTTTGGGTGCTCTGCTCAGTGTTCTCCATCTCCTCAATGTGAAGTTCAGAGCCTGTCCTAAGCTGGCTCAGGGGCTCATACTGATCAGCACTGCCAACACTATAAGAGCGCTTCCTAAAACCTCCACATGGACCCTGCCCCGCTACCTTGGAGTTATTCATTTTGGACACTAGTTGCCTTTTCTCTTCTTGCAAGACTGATATCTTGACTTGAAGAATTGGGATGGTCTTTACCTGCTCTTCCAGTTCTTTTAGTCTCTTTAAAGCCACTACCATCTGTTCTCGAATGTGCTGGAGGTGCAGGGGGCTAACATTGGTCACTGGTGTGGTCATGCCTGAGCTGAGGGGACTGTGGCGGATAGAACTACCCATAGAGGATGTGAAGTAGGGGTTGTACTCGCCATTGCCTAGATGTCCATTGTGTTGGAAAGAATGCAAGCTAGGGGAAATCTGGCTTGGCCCATAGGAGCCATTGTAAGAGGACAGCGAACTGGATGAGCCCATTCCGCCAAAACTGGCCAATCGCCTGCGAGGCGGCTCGTTGACTGGTGGCTGCATAAGAAGCCGCTCTTGCTCCAGTCGCCTTCGAGTCTCCATCAGTGTTTTCTCCACCTGGGGGTTATGGCGAAGAAGGCGGGGAGAAGGTGGTGGCAGCAAATGCTTGGTCTCAGGGACGTTCACAAAGGCTTGGGGAGCTTCATGAACTTGGGCAGTATGGCCAGGGGGGGCTACCTGGTTCTGAGGCGTGAAGTAAACAGATGACTGTTTGCTCTCATCGCTGTTGGAAGAGGACAAGGAGTCTGTTGAAGTCCACTCAGTCTGGCCACTGCAACTGCTCCGAGGAGGCGGCACAGACCTGACCACTTTTGGCTTCCTCTGGATGTTTAGCTTCTTGATGGTGTTGCCCCGCTCAATATCATCAACATACTTAAGGAAATCCAGGTCTAGCTGATAACCATATGGGGTTTCCAAGCAGTAAGGGTCCTTCTCGTCATCATCTTTTTCTGCAAAAAAGAAAAAAGAAACACAGAGTGAAATTTAACAATCTAATCATTGTACAATTTATATGTAAATTTCTATTATTATTTATATTATACATTTATATTATTTATATTATTATACTATATTATACAGCCAACAACTCTAAAACAGAAATATACATTTTGACAGAATGATTCTTCAGTCCTTAGATACATTAAGTATATTTATAAAGTTTGAAACCAACTCTTAACGTTACAGGTCAGGCACAAAGGTGTGATAACAGTGTGAACACTACTGCCATGCCCTGTAATCATAACAGTGTGAGTCAGTCATTTCAACAGCACTTTACACTTATACAATACATCGCTAAGATTTTTCCAAGAACAATCAAACCATTAACTAAAAAAACAAGTTGAAATTTTCATCTATTGGTTTCCAACTCTAAACGTAAAGAGTTATTACACATAATATCATGGCAAAACAAACTCCATGTGTTTGCTGAGAATTTGTAAGGAGGGGGCAAGTGGGGGTGGGGTTAAGGAAAACAAGGAGAGCAAATATTTCTTTCTACCCAAAGATCAATTTGGGCTGATGCAATTGACAATATGTTAAACATTTCACTCACTCACTACATTGCAGACAAAATGTTAATAGTTTCTTTTCAGCTCGAAAGCCAAGGAATATCCATCAACAGAGCTTATATCACAGTCCAAATTCCACATCGGACAGAGAATTCCTGTCGTCAGTTAGACAGATTAACTATCTGAAAGCCAAGACACTTTCAGATGATTTAGAGATCCAGACACAGTGCATTAAGTACAAACAACAAACCCACTGAACATTTTCTTGGTACGTTTTAAGCACATATGTAACATGCAGGAAAGTTTACTTGACCATGTAACACTCATTCAAACATTGCCTATATAAGTTTAACTGAAAGAGGTTTTGGGGAGGTTAAGGCAACCTAATCCCTCATTGTTCAAGCGTCACTTACCCCAAGTCAAACAGCAGTCCTCATGCAGCAGCGCCCGTTCCCTTACAAACCGTCATCGTTTTATAACTAGAACAAGCTGCAGGCTGCCTCCCCTCACTCACTGAGCACTTTCTCAACCTTCACTCCATAAGGGGAAAAATTCCACTATTGGTGTAAACTTAGCCCAGCTCTGCGCCGCCTGTGATAGGCTAGTTCTCTCTACCAATCATGCAGTACTCACACTGTTTCTTCTGTCTTGCCTCTCTGAAAGTGTTCTTTAAACACTGTGTAACCCCTTAAAACAGTGGTCTCTTTTTAAACAATCTTTCCAGGCATGGCTTTAATACAATAATGCAAGGTTCAGTTTAGCTTTTCCTGCTCCTTAATGTGAGCTATGTTCAGGATTACAGATAAAAACGCCAAGATAGAGTGACTTTTTCAATGACAATGAAGGTTTACAAAAGTTAGTAGTCCAAAAGAGACATTTTTAAATATTCCAACCAAAATAAAAAGCTTTATTCTTTATTTAGCCAAGAAACAATCCTTCAACAGAACTGACAAAACCTCTTTTACTGTACTTGCAAAGCAACAATAGCTAGCTTGTTAAGCATGCCAGCTAGCTTTGCTGAGTATAGCAAGAGCACAACAGCAATGTCATGGAGAGAGAGACAGGCTCGTCTGGTACGAGGAACAGACACTTAGGCAGCTGAGCGCTGACCTCACCGGGAGGGGGGGTTGAAAACCTGTGACACTAAATGGACAAGCGAGAAGCAAGGGAAACGCATGAAAGCAGTGTGAGAAACGGCTCCAAGAATAATCCACCCACACTTACTTTTAGCAGTCTAGAATTACACTACCCACCATCAGACAAAAACAGCCTAGAGGATGTTCAGATCAAAATAGTTTATGCTACGGGCAACCTACTGAAGCAAACTTACGCTGTGTTGAAAAGAACTTTAGACTGGTTTAAAGTTCAGCAACCAGCTGGCAGAAAGGTTTTATTTTTTTTATTTTTAAAAGAACAAACTGACCATATTTACAGAATAAATATTTTTTGATTGAAACAAAGACAGTCACACTACATCTGTGCAAAATTCAAAACTAAATGTTAGTCCTCTCCTGTATCTAGTGGTGGCTAGGGTTACAAGTTATAGTCCTTGTCACTTGTAGACATGTAAACAAACCAAAAACGGGACATGATGTCAGAAGATGCGGCTCTAAAAAGGACAGAATACTCAAGCATACCTGTTTATTCTTGTCATAGTCCCACTGTTGCCCATCACAGTTCGTTACAAGCACCAAAACCACGTCTCTTTGCAGCAGATCTTCGTTTATGTGTGAGACGGAGGGATTCCTGCCACTGTTTTGACTCCTTTACACATTTTATAATCTCTTCATTAGTTCTCAGCTGGTCAAAATACAATCATATGTAGGTTTCGAACATAAAACGAGGGCATTTAGCCCAGCAAACAGCATTGTTTTGGATGTCCAATAAGTTCTGTCTTGAAATGTATGTAATAAAAGCCAACCAATCCCTATGCCTTTAGGTTCGGTGTTAAAATGCCTATGTGAACGTGAAGGTGACCAGGACTAAATGTTTTTTTTTTTTTTCAAGACCAAACAAACCAAGCAGAACAAACTACAAGTGTGATTGGCTAAAACCAAAAAGCAAGGATATGGCAGTGACAGTTTCTGACAGGTGGACAAACAAACGTGACACATGATCATTTGGCATGCCTGTTGTAGCAAAGTTATTTCTGGACAAAATTAGCAGAAACAGCCCCATGTAAATGAGGTTTGTAAAAGGTATGGATTTTGTCAAAATAAAGGAAAAAAGTATTACATCCACATTAGGATTGATTTGTCCAATCTGTCTAAACCGTTTAAAAAGGTAGAGAGGGTTTCATTCTGGGAATATTTCATGGGAATATTTCTAAAATATGTCAGTGTTCACTTGGAATTGCAGATGGCCAAGATAGTTCTCTATTTTCACAAGACATCCACTTTTGACCCAAAGTAACAGTGTCATACAAACAACTTAAAATAGATGTCCACAGACAGCCCTGCTATTTCTTCTATTCCATTCCTGCTTGATCTGCTTTTACTAAAAAAAAAAAAAAAAAAAGAGAGAGACGGACAGAGAAGAAATAGTACAAGTGTGCCTCACAATCTTTGAGTTTAAAAGGCCACGGCTTATCTACTGTCTGTGTCTAACAAATGCTGTCTGACTAAATGTCCAAAGACAATGACATATCAAATAGCTGCTAAATATGAGGGATCAGCATTACGTTGTCACCAGAAACTGTGACTAGACTCTTATCTGAAATCTGTAGTTCTGATTTGTTTTTGACCTCTTTTATGTTCTAGCTATTACACTTAAGATCTATTCTAGTACAACACCTAAGAGTATTCATTACCAATAACAAACCCTTGGGGACGATGTTTTCAGTTCTTATAAAACACAATGGAATCTCGGTGTATCTCTCACAGAATTCACAATCACCTTGGGCAAGAGATCTGCTGAATGTTAGCAATGTAAATTTGAAAGTCTGACCTCAGTTGACCACATCTATGATGTGGCAGGAAAAACAAACTTCATAAATCTGCTTGTTTTGCTAACCACAAAACCTTTATGAAAATTTGAGAGATCAGGATGTCAGGAATGCACCAAAGTTATCTTTCACAGTATATGTGCAACAAGAAAATACAGGTGGTAGACATTTCGAAAGGATCAAACGTTTCAAAGTGTTTAAATTCATTTTTTGACTTTTCTTTTGTCAGGTAGTACAACCAAATATTTGTAAATATTTGTTAAAAAATATATATATATATATATATATATATATATATATATATATATATTTATTTATTTTTTAATTTATTTTTTTTAATGAAAATTTGAAATTTGAAAATTTGAACAGGTGTTCCTAATAATCCTTTAGGTGAGTGTGTATATATATATATATATATATATATATATATATATACACACACACACACACACACACACACTCACCTAAAGGATTATTAGGAACACCTGTTCAATTTATCATTAATGCAATTATCTTCTTAAACATCTTGCACATTGGTTGGTCAGTATTGGTTGAATGTGTGTCATATCTCGTATAAGAAGTTTCCCAGTGTTTTTGCTTGGGGTTCAGCTGAGAGGTACTGTAGTAGCAGCGTTGAACATGAATACACAACTAACAAACAGACACTGGACAAGAGGACTTTACACATATAGACAAGGACAAACAGAGGGTCAAGACATAAATACTCAATATACAAAGAAAGGCACATGCCTTATCCAAGAATGAAACAAAGGAAAGTTAGAGAGAGAGAGAGAAAGAGACAGCCAAACGAGAGTAAAATCTCAAAACATATCTCAATGGAGAAACACAATGCACACAGAACCATTTCTTAATATCACACAAACATAAATAAGCCATGCACGTTACCAGACATATACCGCCCTCCTTCCCTTACTGCAGCTATCACTTCATACATACACATAGGCATATACTATCTACACTTTCAAAACCCATTTCCCCTCAAACACCTTAACCATGTAAATCCACTAATGTAAATCTCAGATCAACACGATTTTTTTAAATGTATTATTATTATTTTTTCTTATGTTTGTCTGTCACCTTGTCTGGTCTTATATGTACGTGATACACTCTGTATGTGGTGCTATAATCCCCCCTCCACTTATGTACATTGTCTCACTAAACAGGATGAATGTTTACATACTGTTTATAAATGTATTGTAATATAGTGTGTATATATTTTTACCTTTATTAAAAATAACGTTGTCCTCCGAAGAGGGGGTTTTGGTGGGTCAAAAAAATAAATAATAATAAAAAAGATTGTATTCATGTATTATTTGAATAATTTATTATTTGAAAGTACTGAAAATGAATTCAAACTAAATAGGCTTTATATAATAAAGTGATACATGTCATGAATTTATCAAATTATTTCAAAAGAAAATAACGCACTTGGACACAAAAATATACTTGTAATTAACCCGGTCAGCTTTGAAACACGCATCAGTGATATTTATTCAGGCATTTCAGACTTATGCATTCATAAAAATCCAGCCTACAGATCTTAACAAAACCAGTTTGCTTCAAACTTTCCAGTGCAATAACAATCCAAGCTGCAGCATTACCTACTGTACGGATGCTATAGTATAAGACAGGGGGTGCGATATTGCCTGGTGGACAACATAAAACCTGTTGTTCCACAAAAACCTGTTGTTCAAGACCACCCAAAGGAGTCCATTTCAAAAATGATTAGTTAAGTATATTAACAAACCACAAGAGAGGAGTTTGAAACCTGAACAAATACAAATGCAACCTTCCTGAACATTTCTTTTTAAACCAAAGCACCAAAACACAATTAACATGAATATCAGTAATCCAAGTTACAACACTTTATTCTTAACACTTAATGGCCATTCATTCTACATTTAAATGACTAGAGCACTGAATATAATACTGTTTTGTCACTTACTGGGACAGGAGTTTGAATGTAGCAGGCTAGCATTACTGGTCTGAGCATATCAGAGTCTTCTCAAACACAAACACACACACACTCACAGAGAGAAGAGAAAACAGAGGCCCTTTTTCTCACTCTGGCCTGGTATTTCCTGACCCGGCCCATGGAAACCACGTCAGCCTTCCAGTTTAATTATCCCAGAAATCCACGTCATCTTCAACTTCACTAACAAACACACAGAGCCATTAAACGAGTAACAAGAAACAATGCTGGAACAGATACAGACACTTCTCTAAGAATACTCCTGCCATAAAAGAACAGAGTAACCAAGAGAAACTATGAACATATCCAGTATTAAATAATTTATTATATTAACTAAACCTGCAGAACATCCCAGACTATTGCTAATCCAACCAATATTAGCAGTCAATGAACTAAGAACATCTGAAGGAATGGCTGTAAATTAAATGCAGTGGATTGTTGCAGACAATAGGCTTCAAATACAGGGGCTGTTATCTTAGTCCAGTTACACTCATTACATAATGCATAGGTTTTCATCACGTGCTGTGATTTAGCTGATATATACAACCTTAAAAGTACAATTTTAAATGTAAATATCTGATAATTTCGTCAACACAGATGGCCAAAGAGCTAACAGACATTGACTAAAAGCCACAAAACTTCCATTTGAGCTCATGCTTTCGACATTGTACCTAATGTCGAATTCATGTACTCAAATTATGCGCTGATATACAGAATATTTAAGAAGCCACGTCCAATCCCAGGCTATAAAAACGCTTCTAAATGTTTAATAGATCAATCTACTTTGGAAGTTTCTACTCTCTAGATCAGGATGAAAGCTTGACTTTGCAGACACACAATACACAAAGAAACTGAAAATATGTTTAAAGGTTAATGAAGTACGAGATCACTTAAATAAAGCAGACCATTGTAAGTCAACAGCATTCAAGACAAGTATCCGTAATACTAGTGTCCAACAATTTAGCACGTCCATTAGCCCTTCAATCTTGACATGCTAATCAGCTAGAACTCTAGACTTTATAATGGCACAGCTTGGCAGCCTTGTTTAACACCAAGTGCTCTGGCCTTAGTTTGCTGTGGAGGAGCCATATGGAAAGAGTCCAAGACAGCACAAAATCTCCTTTAGGCTATTACTGACCTGAATTTCATTGTATAAATATCAAAGGTGAGGGTTTACTGACACAGACAACCAAAATGCCAATAGGAGATACAATATCATAAAGAAAGAAGCTATCATTCTCTATTGACTGTGTTAGGTTTAGTTAAGCTGATTTCCCTAATCTACAACAAAAACATTCCTACTTGACATTAAAGTACCATTAAAATGACCTTTTGTCAACACACGCTGGCTACATGGCAAAAAAAAAAAGGAGCAATATAAAGGGACTGACAAAACAGTTCTTATAACTCAAGTTGTGTCTCTCACTTTATTGTCAGAAGGAATGTGCAGTGGAATGCGTTGATGTTGTTGAGTGTTCAGAACCGGGCAAAGCTGACAAGCAATATTTCACAGAAGGCTGTGAAAAATCACACTCCTGTCCTGTTTAAGAAACGCAGGACTGTGCAAACATAGCGGGCATGAATCTTCAAACAGAGCACAAAAATCAGACAATATACGTCTCAAAACTCACAAGCATATGTTCAGTCATGTTCATAAATCTGTTCAAATGCTCACCTGGGTCTTCACTTGGCAAAGTTAAAGCTGAAGTGTGTATGGTTTTTGACATTTTTCTATCCCAAACAACCAGCCCTATAAGGAACCACTGGCTCAACCAATAGCATGAGTTAAGGGGGAGTGTTTGGGGAAACCTGTTTGACAGCAAGTATTATTTTTGCAATTGGGCGTAGAAATTGCACACTTTAGTTTTAACTGAGAATAATTGTAGCCATAAACACTGATGATTCATTCACGAACAGAACAGACAATCATGCTAATTAAAAGGGAGGGGTGTTACCTGAGCCATTGCCGTTAACGTGCATGGTTTGGGCCATGGCCTCAGACACTGGTTTGAAATCCCACAGAGAGCCTGAATGCACTCATGCAAATGCCATGCATCAAATCAGCTTGCCATGCAACCTGCAAACTGGACAAAACAACAAAATGTCAGACACAATAGCACAGCATGATTTCACAACTACAAACACACATACATACACAGGGTTTGAAATCAACACTGGCCAAATATGGTAAAAAAAAAAAAAAAATCAACTGTGGCTCCCGGTAACGCCAAATCACTTGCTATTTGGCGCGTTAGGCTACTTATGTTTACTGACTTTGCTGGGGAAGTCCGTGTAAGCCAAATATGCGCATATTTAGCACAAATACTCAACTCTCGGAGATTAAAAAGTGTTTGGTTAACAGAAAATACATAGTTATTTTTCAACATCCTACTTTTTTTTTTTTTTTTTGATGTTCTTTGTACTGTCTGTCCACCTAACACACATTTTTGGTGAAAACGATGATGAAGAAAGAGTAACCTGGGGATGGCTAGATGACAGGATATGGTTTGAATAAGAAAATAATGTATGACCTTCAAAACTTATATATATATATATATATATATATATATATATATTCCCAAAACAAATCATGGACTCAGATCTGATATAGGTGAAGCCTAAGTGACGCACCTCAGTGTTGCAATTGTGTGCTTGTCTGCAAGACCTTGTAGGCAGTTTAACCAAAACATGAGCTTTTATTGAGGTCATTTAATATTTAACAACAAATAGAACTCTAACCTTCAAAAGGTGCCCATTTCGTAGACAATTTGTACCTTATTTATCCCTGAGGGTGCATATATTAGTTCTCACTACTCAAAGGCACATTTTACCTAAAGTGTATTTATTAATACCTATTTTGTACTTGGTACCATTGAAAGTGTAGCACTGACAGATTTTCTAAACATTTTTCTAAATGTCTAAACATGTATACATCACCAAAAAATGGCATCATTTTGAGAAAAATCTAATTTTGTAATCAAAGCTATCATATAGAAACAGAATGACAGTATTACAGTCACATACTTCTTCACCTTGTAAGAGAATTGAAATGAAACTTAATTCCAGTTCCAGTGCTAATTTAGAATGCAGAATCCAAAGAAGGAGCAACTCGACCAATCAGAAATGTTGGGCAACCAGCTCACCATCTGTAACCGTCTCAAACTGTTCTGGTGTCACATGTTTTTGTGTAAAGGATAAGCTGTTTATATTACATATTACATATTCGTTAGTATTGCTGGATTCAGCATTCAGTATGACAGCCGCAGATCAGGATTGTTTAAGCAGAGCAGCAAATATGCATGTGTGCAGCAGATACAGTGGTGGGTCTCATAAACCCCTAGTGGAACAACGGCAGGAAGACGAACCAGTGGGAGGTCTGCCATGTTCTCTGAAGAACACAGACTTGGGAAGCTAGTAAAAACAATGATTGGACCAGTCCTGAGTATTACGAAACACAGGACGTGTTAAGGAATTTCCTCCATCTCGCACAAAAAAGCCCACAAACACATATTACAACAACAGCACGTCTCAGTTTTTGCAGAAACATACAGAACAGCCACAGCCAAACTGAGGAATCCACTTAGAAATGTTGTGCAATGTCTTTTTCAACAGTCACCAGGACAAAAAGTGCATCAATATTTCTTTTTTTTTTTCCCTTTTTTATGAATAGAAGACAAAGGACAGCTTTTCCTTTTCCCCATAAACACAGCAAAAGAGTTAATCAATAAATCACTTCAGTCTATAAACTGAGACATTTTCAACACTGTGTAGACTGAGTGATTATCTTTCTTAAACAACTGTCTCAACAAAGACACAAAAATGTACCAAGTAAATTGCATGAAAATATGCATATGTGGCTGAAAGTCAACTCTGAGCCTGTCAAAACATGCTAAAATGCTGCCATTAAAATGAATTAATGGCTAACATTCAAATATATATTTAAACGCAGAATGTTTGATTATATAAAGAAATTCAGACAGATAGGTTTGGATCACTAACTCTAAAGACAAATACACTTCAAAGGTCAGTTCAGATTCAGTCCAAAATGTGGATATCTACACACATTACACATATATCTGTTCATGCTATGAAGGTGCATGTATGCAGATGTGACAGATTAAAAAGCGCACCTACCTTGTTCAATCATTCTTAAACTTCTTCAACATCTAGTCACAGGGAATGAAGTTACTATGCCCTTGCAGACACCTATAAGCCAAAGCATCTATGCAACGTGGAGTGTATATTACAGTTAAGATTAGCTAACTTTCTCAGATGTCACAGGTCCTATAAGAGGAAAGGATGGATCCTGTTGAACAGATCAGTGACCAGACCACTAACAAGAGACCTTCTGTGTAAAGGAAAAGATCTGAGGTCCCATCAAACACTCTTACAATGTTAAGTCCTCTATTGGCACAATGGCATCCACAAGGTTGCTGTTTTAGCCAACAGGGTCAGCCCGTTACAGATTGAAGTTTAACTGCAGGTAGATCCTTCAAAAAGAAACGAAAAGGCGTGTTTCATAATTTTTACTCATTCAGTGTCACTCCCTGTTCTCAACACCCTGTTAGCAAAGTCTGTACTTGAATATTAGAATTTGAGTACGAGTGAATCTTTTCAAAAACGATAATTAAAGGAGAAATCCACAGACAACACCGCTGGACATGTGATATGGCCAGTCTGCCATTGAAATTATAACAGTCTACTGTTAATGGCAAGGAAAGATGTTCTCATAAACTTGTTCCAGGTATGTCAGTGGAATCTTGCCATTATCTAAGCTCGAAATAAAAAAAAACACATCATTGATTAAATTAAGATATCTGTAATCACTTACAGCCTTTCTAAATGGTAGATATTAATGAAGGAAAAAATGTAAGTTGGATTTCCACCTTTAAATACATAAATTTATACATTTTTCCCTGGGATCGGGGCTACACAGAAGCTTATTTCCGCCAACATAATAAAAAAAGGTTATTGCGACTTTCTCACTATTGCGAGTTTACGTCTTTCTCACAATTGCGAGTTTACTTCTCGCAATTCTGCAACAAAACTGTAGTATTGAAGCTTGATTCCACCACAGAATAAAACATTTTACAAGATAATTGCAACTTTTTATCTCACGACTGTGAATTAATATTTTAACTTTATATCTCACAATTCTGAATGAATAACACAATTTTAAGAAGATATCTCGCAATTCTGAGAAATTGCGAGATATAAAGTTAAAATATTAAAGCTGTGTTCACACTACACACGACTTTGTCGCTGCAGGTCGCCAATGGCTGCGCTGGAGGGCGTTCCCACTACTGGTTGCCTAGTAATGTTTGTGAGTGACATTCACGGAAGTTACTCTACAACAAATGCGTTTTATTGCCGCTACAAACAAATATTTTGGAAGGAAAAGTCTAAACGCGCTCCACTGACTTCACTCCTATTGGTTGTCGCATGTGAAAAATCGCTCTTCATTTGCATAAAGTTAAACATTTCTCAACTTTGTCGCGTCGCTGGACACGCCCCACCGGTCGCCAACGGCCGCGACCGCGCGTGTCGCCAGAAGCCGCCCGCTCACCATTGAAAATGAATGGTATCGTGTCGCTTGGTCGCATGTAGTGTGAACGCAGCTTAACTCACACTTATGAGATAAAATGTTGCAATTATCTTGTAAAATGTTTTATTCTGTTAGAGAAACAAGCTTTCATACTCCAGTCTTTTTGCAGCCTATATTTTGTGTTATAAAGTTTCTTAAGAGTTTCATGAATAGAGATGATGGGGAAAGTGACACAGGAAATACAGGAATTACACAAGAGAATGTGACATGATGCTAGTGGGAGGTATAGCACATCTCCAGAGGTGAGGGCAGGGTAGCATGACGAGGCAGTCAACCGAGACAACGCTATAGCCAGAAGCAGCATTTAAACATGGAGTGCAGGTCCGTACAAGGCTCTGAATTCAAACACACACACACACACACACACAAACATGCTCCACTGCTGGAGACAGATCTAAAATGGGAGTGGTAAGGTGTATTTCTTTAGAAAAATGCAAACACACCTACTTTCCTTGTCGCTTCTCATTAATTAAAATGCTCTTTTCACCACACCTTCCACAGAATTGGAAGTGTAAGCATACATTAATTTTGAATGGTAAACGGGCCACAATTCAAGTTAATCATTGAATAATTCAATCAATCCTGGAAAAAAAAAAGTATATATAAAATATAAAACATATTATGCAGCACAACGGTTTTCATTAAATAAATATTTATTGAGCAGCGAATCAGAATATTATCATGCTTTCTTAAGAATTGTGCCAAAACTGTAGGAATGGATAATGAAAAAGATATTTTAAATTGCAATGATATTTATAATATTGTATTTTTTACTGTATTTTGATCAAATAAAATTTATCTTTGGTGAGAAAAATAAATAAAACAAATAAATACAAATTATGCGACAGTAGAGCAGCACGATGAATGAATGATTCAATGACTTGCTCAAAGACTTCACTTGTTTCAATGCTGGATGATTTAGTGTTTGTCCATGACTGAATTATTTAATGACAAACAGGCACTTGTTTTAACAGTCTTGTTGCCACTTATGGCATAACAATGTCATTGATACAATCTTTAAATTGAAGCATCAAGTTTGAAAAGGTGATTTACTCCATTTTGATCACTACCTTGACAGTACCAGCGAACTTAAACATTTCATCCTAGAATTAATTTGAATTATTGTAAGAGAAATAATGAAATTGTGTGGTTGAAAAGACTGTTTGTGAAGCTGTTTCATATCTAAACATGACAACTGCTCTCTCTGGATCAGCGCCGACGCAGATCTGAAAGTTCCGCTGTGATCATAGGCTACTTGTCAAAGATTTAATAGACACAGCCGAATCATTGACACTTAGAATTAAAATCGCGGGGGTGTTTGAATCCAGATCACAATCTTTTAACAATTATTCGTGCAGCTCTAAATATGACAGCTATGGTGGAGGGGATCAGTTTCTCATACAAATCTGTCATATGACTTCAAAAGTCTTGAACTACAGCACAAGCAGTCATATGGGCTACTTGCATGCTTTTTGTCCA